TGCATGCTCCACGAATATGTAGCTATTGTTGTTGCTGTTTTTGTTTAATATTTTTTGCTTGAATTTCTTCACGTTTTTCTACTCTAACTTCTTCTCGTTGCTTTACATGCTGCAGCAATTGCAGGAAGCATTGTCCTTAATGGCCAACAATATTAAAACAGCCAAAGCAGATACGAAATGGGGTCACTCACAATGGCACAACGGCCGGCTGACCCCCCGACAACGAAACGACTGAACTGGCGGCCAAACTCACTCGCCTGTCCGCCGACCGATCGACTAACCGACGGTGGTTACGCTATTTGTTTAATGTTGTTTCTGTTGTTGTTGTTGTTGTTGTTGCAAACTAGCACATCAATGCGTTTTGAGCTAATTTTACGGGCAACAGTTTTATGGGTTAACTTCTGCATTCGTGTGCTGGCTAGTAGTTCGGTCGCTTCATTCGCTCATTTGCTTTAGGAGCGGAAATTCACCTACTTGTGAATGTTTACATCTGCAGGTGAGCTACTTAAATATTTGTGTACATACATAAAAACCGTTACATATGTATTTACGTATGGAAAATGAACTCACTTTGTATGTGTAGGACGGATCGAAGAACACTGTTTTTCGCAAAGTAAAATTTTATGTTGGAAGTAAACACGCTGCCGGAATTAGAACACATCAATGTGGTGGAGAAAAAAAGTTAATAGGCAGAAAAAATTTCAATACCTTTCATGGCACTTAAGGCAGAGGGTCCTAACTATATTTAATAAAAACTACTTGTCCAAATTTAAAAAAAAAAACATAGAATATTGCCAAGCGTTCGTTGGCCTTTCTAGCTAAACTAAACTTAATATATAGTTCAAGCAGCCAAAAAAAAAAAAAAACTAAGTAATACCGTTCTTGCTAAAGCAGCCAAGATTTGCCTAAAATGCTACATAGGCTCTCCGGCATTCACCATTAATGTTAAGAGAGCTACTGTTATCACTTCGGCCTTTTTTATTGTTCAAATATTCTAAGTGGCAGTGGGCGCCGTTTGGGATACTGTCTGGACGTGGGGCTTTCCGTGCCGATAGCTTGTCACGTTTGCTTCGGCTTTACTTAGCAAACATGGACGGAGCAAGAGAAAGATCCTTAGTAATTAGCTATAGAAAGGATTTGGCACATTGACTGGACAAATTGTTTTAGTTTCTTAAGCGTCCTAACAGGCTTGGTTAACTTCTTCGCACAGCTCTTTTAACAACTCGAAATTGCGACAACGGCATAACCGTTCGGAATTACTTACATATATTCGAAACTGCAGGCATTCTTTCCCTTTTAGGCTTGTCCTTCTACAAACTTATTCAACTCTCAGGGTGGTAATAACTGTGCCTTAGACGGTCCCAAGCCCGGTTTGAGAAAACAGGAGGGAAGACAGGGGGCTTTGGTATTTCCAGGGTACGGGCTTGACAACCCCGTCTACCCCAGTTAAAGGCTACCAGTCCTGAGTCGGTGGAGGTTCAACTGGAAGAAGTCTACGGCTTTCGAGAGTCATACCAAAGACTTTAAAAATGGTGCCACGGGGAACAGATGCCCCCGGAGTGTTTTCGTCGGCGATACGAGCAAAACTGGTGACACAAACAAGGCTTGCAAGGCAGGCAAGGCAAACACTGGCATGGCTTACACGACTAGAAAATGGAGAAAATGGTGAAAATGGAGATAATGGAGAAAACAGTTGTAATTGGAGCAAAAGTGTGGTGGAAACCGCTGGAAATGGTGAAAAAGTTGTGCGCAAGTTGAGCAATTCGATCCGTTGCGAAAGCTGAGCCGTGTCACCGCTCCTGGATGTGGAGGGTGCCCACGAGCGAGGCGAGTAGGACGTGTGAGATGAGCAAGACGGAGCAAGATGGTGAATGTGTGTCGAGCAACTCGATCGGTCGAAAGTTGAGCAAGTGGTGTCACCGCTCCTGGATGTGGAGGGTGCCCACGAGCGAGGCGATTAGACTTGTGAGACGAGCAAGACGGAGTATGAATGTGGAGTGAAGTAGTCGTGTAAGTCGTTCTAGTGTGAGCTGAGTCAGTTAAGTGGGTCAGGGTGAGTTGAGCCAGTCCAGCAAATCTCGCCGGCGAGCATTACTCCGGTCTGTTCATGGGTACGGCCCCTTTGGGGAGTATCGTGGTGGCTGTGGTTTAATACCTAAATGCGGGTAGAACCAGCAATGGTTCAATGTGGAGTTGCATTGCAACCGGATGTCGTGATCCACAGATCGTCAGAGGTTTAGGTAGGCCTCGGCCCTACCAAGGTGGTAAGTGTGTCCACCACATACTGCCAATTGGTACTGAAGTGCTTGCAGTTCAGGGCAGTGATTAATGCAAAAATTAATCCGTTGTGCCAAATGCGGGCACCGTGGTTAAAGCCGTTGGCAGGAAATCACGTAAAGCCTACATGAAATCTCAGGGTGGTAAAGTTACACATGAGGTAGATTGCAGTAAAGAATTAAGTCTGTCGTGAAGATACTGTATATCTACTAAGAGAGTTTAAAATAGAGAGTAAAATAAAGTTGCCATTTCGAATTGTAAAACAACTGCGAAGCTCCGAAGTTCCTGAAGATCTCTATGCTACCTTTTGGACCCACACTAGAACGCAAATGAAAAAAGTCACCATTGCCTCCGCGCATAGAAAAACTTAACTCTAGTGATCACTTATACATAAGTATAAATTCATTATTTATCTCCTTTCTGACGCGAAATTTATAAGTAGTAACGAGACATGAACCCACCCATGAGCACCAAATATCCCTTCAGAACATCGAAGCCGGGTAAATAAGCTGTTCACTCGGAGTAATTAAGAAGTAACTACATTTGGAAATTGGCCGAAAAATATCTGGCTGTATATATTATAACAAATCAGAAACGAGGGACCTTGGGCAACCTTCGGGTTCTTAATAGCTTTAATGCTGAAGTATTTGTATTTATTTTTTTGTACATCGGGCTCCAAAGTTTTCAAGCTTGAGAGTTTGAGGATTATAAAACGATTCTAGTTTTGAGCTACTTTTAGTGGGAATTGTCTACTTTCTATTTTGACTCCTAGATGAAACTGACCGATCTGAAAACCGGCCCAAGTAAGCCTCTTTACGAATGGCCCAATTTCTGTGAAAAGATGAATTCATCGGCAATTAATGGATCCGAACACTAACTGCAGTAAACTTAAGCAGCCGCTGTGGTGAATTGATTAGAAGAGCAGAGCCTGGGATCGAGCCTTGCTTCCGACACCAAGTACCAGAGCAATGAAAACGACGTTTCTAATAGCGGTCGCCCCTCGGCAGGCAATGGCAAACCTTCAAGTATATTTCTGCCATGAAAAAAAGCCTCTTCATAAAAGCACTACCGCTGTTCGGAAGTTTCTCCAATTTGTATGACAAAATCAAGGCGTACGCCACAAATCGGAGGAGAACCTCGGCAAACACTCAGCAGAAGTGTAGGCACCGGTCTATTATTATTATTATTATTATTAAACTTAAGCAAAGGTGTGAACTCATTGAAGGTGCAATCCGAATTATACATAGAATTTCGGACGACCCATTTAATCGCATCAAAATACTTCGCAGTTCTGATTTTTTGGGCACAAGGATACAATGAGTAGCCAGATAGTTGACGACATGCTTGAAGGTATATATTTTTTGCGACGAGGTGTAGAAGTTTCTGGCCTACCCTCAGTCAGGCAAGCTTAAATTGAGCAAAACTTTAACTAGCAGTGGTAGCTGTTTAAAGGTCTCAGCTGTTGCTCTACCGCCGACCTGCTCTGCAAAACTAAAGTAATATTGCCACTCCCTTCCCGCGTATGTGTGGAGTTTCAGACTTTCCCAGGAATGCACACTCAAGGGTAGTGACTGTAAGAAAGTAGTGCGCGTCTTTTCGTTAAATAAAAAAAAATATATATATTAAGCGAAAATGGCAAAGAAATTGAAATTTCATGAAAATACATTTATTTAAACCTGATTGGTCTTTTGAAGATAGCTCTTGTTTCCTTACCATTTTATGTGCATTTGTTTTTACTTCTAAAAATAAAATGCTTCAATTTTTTAAAGGCGGCAACTGGTTTGGTACTTGTCATAATGTTTTTTTTTGGCAGACAATTTTATTCGGCGCAGTACTTAACTGGTCATTCATGCTTTTTGACCTATCGGTCCTCCCATTAAATAATAAATACTTCAGGGCTATAAAGAGCCGCAGTTTTAATATAGCTAACACCCGAATACAATAACTATAATAGAATTTCTTATGCTGCTGTTTTCCAATGCAATGCTTTAAATAGAAATCTTCTTTCAGCCACAATGAATGTGGGCCTTCCACCCTTAAAATTGCTAACCTACAATTCATAATTCCTGAGACATGAGAAAATTTAAATAAATAAATATCCACTTATATATATACTAAGTTAAACGCATGCTTGTATATTAGGGTGATCCAAAAATACATTCGGCGGGAAGAACGTTCAAAATGTGAAGCTATCTCCTACTGGAATTTTTCTAAATGGAAAAAAATATCCGTATTTTTTGTTTAAACAAATTATGTTCAGAATTGCGTCAAAGTCCATTAAGTTTTTCATGTATTTTATTTGAGGAAAACACACTTTTTCGCATAATGGTATAGAATTCGTGAAAATCAAAATTTTTCGATCGGCAAACTCGGTCTCTCTTTAAGAGACTTCCAGTAACAATGCCCAATTGTTTATTTAACCAATTCTGAATATTACCTATTTTTTATAGGTCCCCCGAGAACTCCAAAAGATGAAATAGGGTCCGACAAAAATCGCTTGTAATAAAAAATAGTAAAATATACGATTGGGTATTCTTTTTCTGAAGAGATGCGAAAGAAAAATATTGATCTTCAAGAATTCTACACCATTTCTAGGAAAAAGTGAATTCTATTTTTAATTTAGAAACATCCTAAGAGGTGAGAGCTTAAAATTTTAAACTTTTTTTTTTTTTACCACCCTATTGTACATACATATATACATATTTAGAGTCACGTGCACCTACCGTCAATGTATCCAATTTCTTATAGTTTTTAGTCGACCGTTGGGCCATAATTGTGCTACACCTGATGCACGACTACGCTCATTTCTGAGGATTGACACGTCATCCACGTGGCATGCAATCGACTATTTGACATTTGACAGTGATGACACGAACAGTTTTACACGTTGATCGAAGAAGAAGAAGAAGAAGAAAACAAGAAGAAAATTCACAAGCGAAAGACGATTTGTTGGACTATGAAGAAGTGTTGAAGCAGATGATTACAGCGAAGAAGAAGAATTCTACCCAGTGACTAGTGATGTATTTTTAGCAAAGCGAACGAATCAACAATTTTTACGAATGTAAGTCCATATAATTGCTTAGTTAATTTGTAGCCATACAAAATTATTAAAATAACAAAACGTCGATGCGAACGTGAACGTGAACGGAACGACACGGAACACGGCTCAATTAGAGTGGAGTAGACGTAACCGTAGAATATATATGTTTTAATGTGTGTAGTATTAATACGTAGTAGGCGGTAGGCGTGTACAGTCGGTCGTTATAGTTATGCGATGGACGCTAAACGTTAGCTAAACGCTAATAAATATTTCCGGTTGTTTTTGGTTATTAATGTGTGATTGATGCAGAAGTCGATGTTGTTGCTCAACTACTTGCTGCTTGCCATTGCTGTAATTTATTGCGAAATTCACAGGCGTATTTTGGAAATTTTATTTCACTAAGTATATGTAAATATATGTACAGCAGCTTAAGAGATTAGTATTTGGTTTTTTTTTTTTAAGTATTATTTTATCAGGTTAAATTTTTGTTTTTGATTAGTTGTTATACTTTTTGCTTTTACTATTTAATTTGCTATTACTTCACTAAATTTATAAGTTGATTTTATTTTTGTTAATAAAATATGGTTACTTTTTGAATATTCAATGCATACAGCCCGCTCCTCCTTTCACTTAAACCAAACGCAAATAACTTTGGGTTGCGATTTCTCGCTTTTACTATTGCAGCGGCGGTGGCCCTTATTTACTTAGGTTTTTTTTTTTTGTATTTTGGTAATCAGCACTTTTTCGAGATCGAATGGTAAGCAAATTTATTAATTTTCTGGTTGCTTGCAAATTTAATGCGAGAAAAAATAATAAATCACAGAAATCACAGATTAATTAGAAATTTTTTTATTATACAATAATTTATTTGTTTATTTTTGTCGCTGGTTTTTTTTTTGTTGTAAATTTATTCAATTGCAATTGCGTTTTTTTATGTTTTTTACTGGATACTAAGTGGATTTTTTTTACTTAATTTAACGATATTTTATTTCAAATTAGCGGTTCAGTATGTCCCCTCTGCTTTGCTTTGGTTTATTTTTGAAGATAAGAGATTTTTGGTTTCTTCTGAGTTAATTTTACGAGCATTTTGCGTTTAAGGTCAGCCTTAAGTCGACTGTAGTTGCTGTTGCTTTAGTTGTTTTTGTGTTTATCTAGTTTTTTTTAGTTGTTGTCAAATATTTACAGGTGTTGCTAGTTGATTATGATGATTTCGAATGGAATTTTACAGATGAAAGTTACGACGCTTTTAGCGTTTGGCAAACAAACAACACACGCACACACACATACACGTACACAGGAGTCCACATAGATATATTTTTTTTTTTGTGTTATTTATTATTATTGTTTTTTTTTAGTTTATGTTGTTTGTTGTTGTTGGGAGAGGCAGTGGTGTGCGTGTTACGCCTACTTATAACTTGATTTGTTTTGTTTATTTTTTTTCTTAATTATATATTTTTTTGCTTTGCAATGCTAGTGTTGCTTTTATTCACTTTTTATTTTGTATAAAAATGTGAGTTCTTTCTTCCAAAAAAAAAAATCTCCACACAATTGTCAGTACATTCTTTGTTCATATGTATTGAATATTTTCCGCTGCTGGAGCCACAATGGTTTTCTGTCCTTAACTAGCAAAATATTTAGAACAATAAGAAGAAAACACAATTTAGTGCATTTTTCATACAGCCCAAAATGCACAAATATTTTCAGCATACACGTCCGCACATTGTCAACTGACTGGCTTTGAAATTTCGCAAAGAGAAATATATTTCCGCTCGTCCTCAATGAAAGCAATCACCAACATCGCTGCAGCTAACTATCCTCACCCCATCATTGCCAGTCGGCGTCGCCGTTAACGTCGCTGTAGCTGCCGCAGTTGCTACGCCAGCCTTTAGTTGCGCTGCCACGGACAACGTCAACATCGCTACATTGCGAGCGTCATCACATATTTTGCTTCCATTTTATGGAAACGAGCAAACAAACACACACACGCACACGTACACACATAGAGAGCCACTAACCAAAACGGAACGCACAAGTTTCATTTAACTTAGCACACATACACATACAAATGCTACATTCACCACGCAAACTTCCAGTACTGCCATGCAGCTTCACCACTCCTACCCATACAGTTATGCATTTTTTACGAGCTCACACATTGGCTCATCGTGGCGATAGTGCGTGTGGCGTATGGCTTTGTATTTTTTATGCCAGCACGTGCGCATTGCTTCGTTAAGTTTTCTTTCCCTGTTTTCCTTTTCTGTTCCTTTGCCTTTTTTCTCTCTTCCAGTCGTGTGCCATTGCGCTGGTTCACGCATTTCATTATTTGTCAGGCTTATTTATTCGACTTTTAAGGCTAATTTTATTTAAATTGTTTGTGTAATTTTGATTATTTTTCCCCTTTGTCTGCGTATAGAGTCAAAATTTTATAAACTTACAAATGTACATACATACATATATGTATATGTACATAAAAACATATGCATTAACTCATACTTACATACTCAGAAACTCTTTCGCTATTCGCGCACACAAAAATAAAAATTAAATATTACTAAGGTACAGCGTTTTGTCAAACCATTAGACGACAATGTAAAGGTATTACGTTGCGTATACGTAATTTTTAATTTTATGCATCGCCGTCATTGATTTGTTAGCTTGACTTGCCAGCTCACGCAATGTTTAGCTATTCACTGTGACGAAAAGCATTGAGATACATGCATATGTATGTAAGATTATTATTAATTGCATTGAGGTGTAGCGTTGTCATTGATTAAGGAACTTTATAAAGAAAATAAGTTCGTTTTTAATTTTAAAGTTGCCACCAAGGATTCGCTAAATAAACATTGTAGTTTGTTAAGTGATTGCCTGTATTTCTAGCATAGATATGTAAGTTCAAAGCACATAATATCAAGATCCTAACTTAAGAAAATATCAAAAATTTTAAGTTTTGAGTGTTCAAGGCAAAAGTTTTTATTGTAATATTTTTTTAGACTAACTTTCATATTGTGTTGTAAAAGTAGAATACAAATTTATGACCTCTACGCTCTTATGAGTCAAACCCAAAAGCTTGTTAGGGGCAACAGCTTCTTGGTTTAATAATTTTATGTCTGCTAAGATCAAGGCCTCGAAGCAAAGATTTCTTTTCTTGAAAAAAGCCTTACAAATCTGTAGAAAATCCACCAATAACATTTTTTAGGTATTTAATAAAAACAATAGGTTTTGTTCGATTTATTTTTAACTACATATTACAATAAAAAAACTATTACATATAATAAGGAATTTTTTGTTCAGCTTTTGATACGGTGTTTGAGACATAATAATAAGATCTTCTGAGTTTTCTTTAACCAAACGCGAAGATAAAACTAAAGGCAACCACAAAACCTCATCATTCAATAGACCTCCCACTGAAGTTATTATAGACAAATACAACAACTCAAACCCTATTCAAATGGGTTTTGAGCTAACATTTTGTTGTTATTTTTTTATCTTCATTCTTTAACCAAAATAATATATATAAAAGTTTTAAACTTTATGCAACATTTATAAAAAATCAACAAATTTTGCTAAAGATATCGATAATTTTGCTTTACAATTTGGAAAACTGTTGCGTCTGCAACATGGCCTATAAGATCTTTAACACAGATCGTATAACACAGTGCACCTAGGAGTTTCCGTTGATCTAAAAAAAAATTCGCCTTTCTTCTGAATTTAGAAAAACTGGCATTAATAAAAAAAAATCCGAACAGTCTATTGTAATTAAATGCTCGTCATGTGTCCAGAAAAATAAATTTGGAACGGAGCATACATGAAAGGGTGTGCTTTAAATCGTTAACGTAATAAAGTAGACTACACTTTTGCCAGAATTTGGAAGTGTCTTTCTATAGCACCGTGCTATTATTGTTGGCTTGAACTCGTAAATGATTTTTGTTTCCAAATAATAACACTGATTTGATAACATAATTTTTGCTATTTTTATTTGTTCTGGGGATAGATTTTTTTGTGAAAGTTAAGTCATGATACAACCTCCATAAGATTTTCTTGGAGATTTTCCGGACGTTATGTCACGAATTAACATCCTTGGAAGTTATGTCTGATCTGCGTGGAAATGATTTCTGAAATAACTTCCACGGGCAAGTTATGTCAGTTACCCGAAATGCTTAAAATCAGATGGGACTTTGCTCCTGATTCTCCAGTAGTCCATACTAGTAATTTCCTCAAAAGTTTCAACCAAGAAATTCGAGTACTTGAAATATATAGATTTATGCAAACAAGCTGATACATAATATATGTGTGTATGTATGTACACTGGACTAAATCAAAAAAACAGTCTTGCAGTGTGTTTAGGCAAGTGGTCTAAATTTATAAATTTACCGCTGGGAGGCCGTATTCCCACTTATTAGAACAAATTAATGTCGGCACGTAAGTGCAACCTTCCAATTTTCCGCCGCACTAACTATTTTTCTTTCGCAACGAAATTGGAACAGCGTTTCGGCGGCAATTGGAAGATTGGTTTTTATTAATTTAATTTTTGTACCCGCTTCGGAGGATCCTTTCCGCAGCACTAAAGTCCTATAAAACGTAAATTTCTAAATTTCTAAATTGTAATTAGAACACATTTAAAGTCAATAAACAAGACAATTTTAATTCCGAAATACTGCTGATGTCTTTTTAATTCATTTGAAACTAATTTTTCAGGACTACTGTTTAATTGTTCTAAGGACAGCTAGTATGTAAAATCGTGAGGCATAAAATGGGTGTACTATGGGTCAATTGATACTCTCAAGCCTGTCCAACCGGATTTGAAAGAAAATACCTAGCACCATCAGCAAAAAAAAATATATATTAAAAATCAAAGCCAACTTTATATCCCTGTTTTTAATAAAACCGCTTAGTTGAATTTTTTTTACCAACTGAATTTTATTATTGAGGAGCTCTGGTATCAGTCCTCGGCGTGCTTTAATCTTCTACGTTAACTTGGGCAGTGTACCGCTTTCGACATATAATTTTTCGGCACCCTAACGCCATACAGTCTTCGACACGATACGAAATCTTGACTTGGTTAATTCCATTATTAAATGTGTCCTAAAAAATCAAAAGGTAAGCTAAATAAAACCAACTAAAAACGGGTTTGACAGATCTCTTCTAAATATTATAAGTTTCCGTTAAAAAATTGTTAAACTATTTTTGGTAGTAAATTCCACTTGAGTAGTTCGGCAGACGAAAGCACTGCTTAATCTGGACTGGAAATCGCCCGAGTAGAGATCTACTCCGGTGCCTTGCTACATACTTGAACGATCAGTATAGATAAAATGGACAAATTCCCCTCTGCTAATGGGAGTTCTTCAGTCCCCAATATAAATTAGTAGATAGTGGGTACTGTCTGATAGCCGCTTTTTATTTCAAGCAGTAAAGGCAAATTTTTGCCAATTTATTTCGAAGATTAACAAAATAATGAAATGCCTCGTGATTTTCGGGACTTTCGATTCTTTTCACTGATGTTTTCTGAATTCTTCGCATATTATTACTCCTCGGGAATCCATAAGCTCTATGTACTTTTGTACGCGATATTTCGTTAGGTAAAAGTAATTATCCTATAAGCCATTCGGTAGTCGACTACACTCTACATTGGGAAGTGTTTCTCACTTACGTGAACTTCTGCATTTGGAACCATCGTCTATGTATTATATACGAGCAAGGAAATAATTCCCCAAAAAATTTGGTCGTTTTAAAAATATTTATATACATATGTATATAACACGCGAAGGCATTTTTTGTGCAACATAAAAGATCTGCACCGTTCGCTCGATTTTCAAAAATGGATTGTCAGACTAAAGCGCTTGGC